TGAAGAGACCCTATAAGTTTTTCTTCTCTGGGCATTCTTAGAATCAATTGTGAACAGTTTCTTCTGTGAATAGGAGAAAAAAACCTGCAAACCATAATAAAAATTAGGAAAGGTGAGCAGAAATGTTTCAGAGATTAATAAAATCCTGGGAGATTCTGGAAGGGTATTGGAATTGGGTCATTTTTCTGAAGTTGAAAGAGCAAGCTAGAGAGAATCAGGGTGGGCATCTCAGAGGATTTCCTTTTTCTGACTCCAGTTATGACAAACAGGGCTGGCTTTATCACACGATTATGGGGAATTTTTGCTTAGAATCTGAATTGCAGCAGCTCAGCGTGGCACAGCACAGCCTGTGAGAGAGCACTGACCTGAGCTCCTGGTAGTCATTTCTGGCACTGCTCCTCCCAGGCATTTTATGGCCCTTTGGTTCCCAGAGTTTGTCTTCATTTCCAGAGGCTGGTGCTGCTCCCTGTGTGACCTTTGCTGTGCAGACCCTCCTCTCACCAGCTGTCCTGTGTTTCAGGAGTTGGATGACACCTCTCATGTCACCATAGGCAGCTTCAAGGTCTGTAAGTCAGTGCTGCTTAAAGAGAAAATCTTACATGGTGCTCCCATTTGCTAATTTAAGGGGAGTTCCCAAGGAAAGTCTCTCAAATTGTTCTGTCTTTAAAAGAGATGTATCTGTAGCATTAAGTAAATGGTAAATACATTATTACTATTCAGATGTTAGAGTGAAAGAACTAATTTATTACTTTAATTAGTTTGTAGTGTACTTTACATTATTGTAATATGCAATATTGAAATAATGAACTGAAAATAGGTGTGCACACATTCTGTTCAGCACAGCAATGTAATAATTCACTTGGCAAAAGCTTCTCTAATAATACATGAACTGTGAAATGTACTTGAAGTGCCAGTTGTAATTAAAAACTTTCAGAACTTAATGTTGGCAGTGCTTGTACTGCTAAAATGTAAGCTGCTTTGTGGAACAGGCACTGGGGGAGCCAGGTTTCAGTGTATTTGCAATATTAGTTTAACTACTGGGATTTTTTTTAATATTTAAATAAAACATTTACTGTTGACACAGTAAAATCTACCCTTCTGATTTTGCGCTCATAGGAAGGAAAGAACGCAATCAGGAACACATTAATTTTTGTGTGCAGTCTGTGCTCCCAGATTGCTGCTGCAGGGAAGCAGAATTGTTGTTCTGGAGGTTTTTTTGTTCTCCAGACCCTCTGGAGATAAAAGCTTGCTGAATGCAGCGGGCTTTCTTGGCGAGCTTCAGTTGTGGGAATGGTGGCAGTGCAGCGTCAGGTGGTCACTTTTGAGCAGCAGAACGATGAAAGCAGGGAGGTGCTGTGGACATTCCTCAGCTATCCCACTCCATTCCCTGCAGGGTGGCACGGGGAGCCCCCTCCTGCCACTCTGCACTGTGCCCCTGAGCTGCAGCCGAGGGCTGCCCACTGCCCCTTGGCACAGCAGCTCAGATAGCCCAGCTCCCAGTTTGGGAACTGGGACCCCATGGACAGGGCCCAGTCTGGGCACCCCTCCTGTGCATGGGGCTCCCCAGGGATGTTCCCTGCTCAGGGGCTGTGGGACTGCAACTGCTCCCCAGCACGGAGGCTTTTAATGTTCCCATGTGGTTTAAAAAGTGAAATACACTGGCATTTCAATCAGCTGGTTAATGTCTCATTTTTGTCATGTCTTACACTTCAGTGTAGCTCAGCTTTAGGAACATTTTACCCGATATGACTTTAATTCTTCATGTGGGAAAAACCATGGCATAAGGCCAGCCTACTGAATCCCATTTTATACATATTTTGTAAATGCTGCTTTTCTGGTTTGTTTTTTTTTTTTTTTTACCAATTTTCCCCCTTTCCCCCCCCCCCCCTTTTTTTTTTTTTTTTTTTTTTTTTTTTTTTTTTTTTTTTTTTTTTTTTTTTTTTTTTTTTTTTTTTTTTCTCCTTTTTTCCCCCCCCCCTTTTTTTTTTTTTTTTTTAAATCATGAATTGTTTTTAAAGGAAGTGAATTGCCTTTGTCTTTATGAAAAGACATGGATTAGATAAACATGGGGGAGGGGGCAGGGATAATCTAAACTAACTTCATGTGCTGCCTGCAGAAAATAATAACTGGATATGGTGAGCAAATATGGTATAGTTACAGTCTCTTTGGCATTCCCATTACCCATTTTCCTGATTGGCAATGGGCTCATACATTCAAAAGCCTAACTAGATAAAGATGGAAAGCAGATTCTACACCCTGACTGTGTATGTTTGTGATTTAGGGCAGAGTAGGGAGTGTTGTAAGAGCAGAATTACACCCTGAGTTACTGATTTATCTGTTCTGTCTGGGGAACCCCGCTGGATGATTAGTGAGTGCTTTGTCAGCTGAGGGAAGCTCTGGATTTGATGCTTGGTTCTGCTTATTTGTTTGTATGAAACATGTCAAAAGTGTAGATTGTGCCCCAGTATTGATTTCTGGCTTGAATCAAAAGGCTGTAATGGAAGAGCTATGTGAGAACAACCAGGGGAGGTGACACAGCCTGGCATAAGATTGTAACATTGCCAAGCAAACCACTGCTAGTCAGAATGAATTAATAAGGAGGCTTGAGATAAATTCAGACTGAACTAGTACCTGCATCTGCTCCCTGCTTCAGTGGGGTTTGATTCCTCCAGTCAGCTGCTGTCCCAGACTCTGCTGGGCCCACTCTGTTCTCCACATCCATTTCCAGGCACTGGTTCCCCTGCAGTGTCCGGGTACTGCAGCTTTCATTGACAACAATTTAATGGCCTCAACAAGGCCAATGATTGCAGTGCTAATGACTACAATCAAACAATCAAAAAAATCCCTGGTTAACAGGTAAATTAATATCCAGAGAAGACCAATAAAGGATCAGAAGAGTTCTCAGACGTGTAGGGAACTGAAGCTGCATCATGTACTGAGCCCAGTGGCATTGATCCCAGTATTGGAGAGAGTGTTTGAAAGGAGTGTGAAGCAGGATGTAGGAAAATCCAAGCTTACAAAAAGCAATTTTTTTGTTACATAATCTGATTGTTACCGCATTTCTGTTCAGAAAATCTCTGTGGTGTTATTACAGACGTTTAAAGCTCCTTCGAATGCTTCTGCAGCTTATCCCAGCTCCAATCTGAGTGTGCTTTTAGCAGATTTCATTCACTGTTTGCTTGTTGGCAGATTTGAAAGCTTCCTGCATATGGTTTTGCTTTGGTCTGTTTCAAAAGCCAGGTAGAAAGGATTGCGTGTTCTTGTAAGTCATTTTCAAAGCATTCCTTTTTGAGTTCATTAGTGTGGCAAGTGAAGGGGAACTGAAACAATTTAGCACTTTATTTTAGATTCTTAAAGTGCTAAACTGCATGAGCAGACTGCTGGCAAAATTGCTACGTGAAGATTTGGATTTAAACAGCTGTTGTGCTACAAGTTTCAAGTGTGAGGGAGGTTTAATTCGGGTGTTGCAGCTGAGGCTGCAGAGACCTCTCCAGACCCCGGGGGCCACCCCCTGCCCTGGCAGGGTCAGACACAGCTGCTGACCCAGGATGCTCCGAGTCCAGGTTTAAACCTCTGCGAGGGCTGGAGGCTCCACGACCTCCCTGGCCAGCACGTTCTGGTGTCCATCCACCCTCTCAGTAGGGAAGTGATGGATGGAATGGAATTTCGGGAGTTTCAGTCTCTGCCTGTCGTTTCCTATCCTGTCACTGGGCACATCTGGCTCCATCCTCTGCACGCTCTTCATTTTCGGGTTGTTTTCTTGTTATTACTTTGCCTGCCCTCCATGAGAAGCCACATCACTGAGCAGTGTATTGCAAAGAGCAAAGTGTAATTGTTATTTTAGCAAGAAGTGGCATCACTCAGATATAACTCACCTAGAACCTCGGGCCATGGGGAACTCTGGATTTCTGAACAGAACATCTTTCATAAGCACAGACCAGAAGAATTAATAGTCTGTGCACACTGGCAGCGAAATGCAGTAAAGGTAGAAAAAATTGTAAGCATTTTAATATCTTAGTATTAAAGTACTCACTGTAGTGTAGAAAGCCAGCTGAAAAATGGCTCCGATGCTTGTTCCTTGGAGGAATGCAGAGTTCTGTTAGCACTTGACAAATCCATTACAGAAAGAGCTGGCAAGCCAACAAAAAGGAGACATCATTAATCCTGTTGAAACCAGCGTGAAACAGATGAGCACACGAGTGCTCCTGACAGCACCGAGGTAAATCGGGCCCCTCGCTGGCTGGAGATGAGTCACTGCCCATGGCACAGGGGATGGGTGTCTCTTTAGCTAACAGTCTGTCAGGGTCGTGTCAGGAGTGGATTTTGAGCAGGTTGAGCTGGGTGGTCCATCCCATCTCCAGAATGTTTTGTTAAGAAGCAGGGCAGGCTCTGCAATGAGGGGTGTGGGTGAGCTGAGCCCTGGCCTGCTCTGCCAGGCAGCTGCTGCCTCTCTTCCCACGGAGGAGGGGGGTGTTGTGTGTGCAGGACCCCCCAGACACCGGTCACAACCCCTGGCAATGGGGAGGGCTGCCAGGCTAGTTTGCCCTGTCTGAGAGCTGGCAGAATTGGAGCCCCTGTGGCTGGAGCGAGCCCTGGGTTGGAGGGTGGTGCTGTCACTGAAGTGCAGGCACTGGAGGCTGTCAGTGGACTCTGCTCTGTGACTCTTGGTCTCCACCCCTTCATAGGTTCCTTAAGGAACATACATGTCATTGAAAGCCTAAGTGATGAAGGGGAATTCAAGATCTGAATTACTGAGATGATTTTAGCAATATTACCTAAACTCTTCTCCTGTGTGATTTTATTGCACCGTCACTTGCAAACTGCACGTGAACAGGTGGAGAGGTGGTGCTTGCTAAATGACTGTGTTGCTGATAAGATTATAAATCTTACTTTGTAAATGGATTACATGGGTTTCCTTCCCAGTCTCAGCTTGGCAGGATCACAGTCACAGAGAGTTACACAGTCTGCTGCAGGACTGTCTCTTCAACCATTTCTTCCAGGTTCTACAGTGGAAAGCACAGCAGGAGGAAGCTGCTAAACTAGAAGCTGCTGTGGCTGCCAGAAGAAAAGAAAAGGAAGATGAGAAAGAAAGGCTACAGAGAGAACAGGAAACTAGTCGTAGAGCTCAGGAGAAAGAGAAAGTATGAGAAACTTTTATATGTTTTTGCATATATTAATGTCTACAATTGCTCCTATAGTCTTGGATTGATTTCATGCCACTTGTATTAACACAGAGAAGGACAGATGGTCAGTCGGGTCCTGCTCCAGTCCATTTTAGCTCTAAAGCTGCCTGCACTGACACACCAGTTCTGTCACTTCATTGCCTGTCCTTAAAACAAAAGCCTGGCCGGGTCAGTGTGTGAGTGTGGCCGTGTCACAGAGCAGCACAGGGGCACTGCTGCTCTGACTCCCCCACGCCTGCTCTGATCCTCACATCTGTGCCCTGAGCAGCGTGGCAGCCTCAGGAAGCTCCCAGTGCTGCAGCTGAGTGCTGCAATGCAGCAGAGGAGCCAGCTCCCAGCCTGCAGGACAGCAGCACATCTCCCAGGGACAGCATTCCCGGTGCTTGTGTGCTCACCCCTTGGGAAATGGCTTGGGTGCAGCTTAGCAGAAAATCAGAAATCTGCTGTAATGAATGTAATGCTTTAACAAACCGAGCTGTGTCACACATGTATTTGTGTTGGCCTTTTTATTTAAGTGATGTGGCAGAAATCCAGGAGGCTGTTTCATTAGGATTTTACCTCAGAGTCCAGAGATACAGAGAGGGACATTTAGTGAGGGTTTGCTGCTTAGGTCACGAGTAGCTTTGCTGCTGCTGTTCTTTTTGTTCCAGCTTGTTCTCTGTATTTGCCTTCACACACACAGTGTTTGTAGTGGCAGGTGGCTCTGCAACCACAGGGAAGGAAGAGGTTTGGGCAGGCAGTGCTGACCCAGCCACCAGCAACATTCATTTCATCTGTAAATATTCTTGTGCAAACTTTTCTCTTCTTGTGTGTGATATCTATATAGAATTGTCCTCTGCCTGTGCACAGATGGAATAGCAGCTGTTTGGGGTCAGCAGTCATGTTTCACTGGAATATTTTCCATCTTAGATCCTTAAAAGGGCTGCTAACCTTATACTGCAGCTGCTTTTCTGCAGAATGTTCTGGGGCAGCAAGAAGAATATTTAAAATACTTGTGAGCTGTGTAAAAGGAATGACCACCCTCTACCTGCTTTGTAACCAGGCAAGGTATGTCAAGCAGTTCCAAACACAGGAAAGGGTAAAATGCCATTAATTCTCAATGCCAGTGCTACAGTTGCTCTATTGGACTGCAGATCAGAACTTTTCCTATATTATTTAAAGATGGAATTTCAAAAATATCCATTGATTCCTAATTAATGAGAAAACCCTCAGGCAATGAGGAATACAAAAAGGGAGTAATTGCAAAAGAGAGAGTTTTATTTCATAAACAGAAGTATTTGAAACAATATTAAATAAAAGCACTCTAAGATATGGTTCTAGGTCAGGTTGCTTCCTGACCTTCATATGTCAAAAATGGCCTGTCTAAAGAAATGTTTGGCTTACAAGTTGGGAATTCTGAAATATAAGCACTGTTTGGAAGACCTGTTTTATTCTAAATCATGACAGTGAAGGGTTTTTCTTCACCAGGAGAGCTGGAGAGGGACTGGGGACCAGGGCTGGAGGGACAGGACACAGGGAATGGCTTCCCACTGCCAGAGGGCAGGGACAGATGGGATGCCAGGAAGATACTAAATATTCTATGATTATATGATATTGGCAGTGCTGGGTTAATGGTTTGATTCAATGATCTTAAAGATCTTTTCCAGTGTGAATGATTTTGTGGTTTGCAAAGTATGTCATGGCAAGGTGGGACTTACAAGCTTGCTACAAATTCCACCAGCTGTCTCTGAAGAACTGCCATGGTTTTAGGAACAAGATCCTGTAGAAGTCATTAAAATGAAAAGTTCGGTGTTTCACTTCAGCAATATCTACTTTAAACCCCTATTCCTCCTTTTGCATCCAAGCCCCCTCATCTTTTCAGATAAGCTCCCCTTCTCGGGTTCCAGAGTCTTCCTTGAGGTCTTTCTTTTCCCACTCCAGACTTACATGAGGAACACTCAAGTGCTGCCTCCTGTTCCTCAGTGGACTCTCCACCTTACACAGTGAGCTGGGCTGGCCTGGACCAGCCCTTTGAGATAGCCCAGGACACTCTAACTCAAGGAACATTCACCTGAGAAAGCAGCACAGCTGAAGGTTTGATGGCAGAGTAGGAAGGCCAGGAGCAAATGGAAGTGGTGATCTTCAGACTGCAGTGGAAAAATATGTTCAAATTAGTGTCCACAGTCTGATTTTACCACTTTTGTTGTGAGGGCTCCACACCCTCTTGCTCTCCTGGGAAACCTTCTGTTAGCCTGTAGTGCTCTCAAATAGAAATTTTATTCTAAAAAGATCAAAATTAGAGTTTCTAACTTAATGCTTTTCTTAGTTTCTTTGTTGTCACTGCCTTGGCTTGGGAATGAATGTTGATTTGTTTGCTGTATTTGTTCAAACTCTAGCTGAAAAAATACTGGGCTGAGAAACAGCTCAAGTGGCAAGAGCAGGAGGAGAGAGATCTACGACGTCTGGAGGAACTGAGAAAATTAATGGCTGAACAAGCAGCTAAAGACAGAGAAAGGTAAAAGAAATTAAATGTGAATACCTATGGTATTAATAGGAGCTTCTTATAATCTAGTTTGCTTTGATCCTCCAGCTTTCTAAACTAGAATTTTTTTCTTCCTATTTGGCAATTACCCCAATTTATACACTAAGGTTTCATCACGACTGTGCCCTGGATGCAATTTATTTGGCAGTTTGAATTAATTAATATCCATCAAAGATTTCACACCTTTGTAAGCACTGAACTTGGAATCATGACAGGATGCACACATTAAACCCAGCTCCCTTGGTGACTTTTTTTTAATTATAGCTGAGTAATGAGACCATCTACCTTCCCACTTTGCAAAATGATTTATAATCAGGTTTGGTTTGTTTGAGGGGCAAGTGAAAGGAGCTCATTCAGCACTTAACAGCCTCAAAGATATTAATTATTATCTTAGAGACTCCTAAACTGCTCATCTAGTTGTAGATTCTCTTTACCTGTTTAATGGGATTTTGGACTTGAGCCTGCTCACACTTGAACTGCCAAGTCTTTGTTGCACAACGTGGCCTTTAATGTCCTGTTGAAGAAATGCTCCATCTCATAGGGGAATCCCTCTGTCAGAGGAACACAACCCTGGAAAGCAGTCTGGCTATAACTGCTCCCAAAGCACAGCCTGCCTCTTTTTACATGAAGGGAACCACCAAATTGTGTGGATCAGAAATGCAATTAAAATAGGATTCAAGTGCCATTGGTATTTGAATATTAAACTTGGTCTTAAGCATTCTGTGTGAAACACTACTTCAGTCTTATTTTGCTAGGACACCTTGCTGACAACTAAATTTAAATGTTTGTGTCCTTATGCTACAAATATATCTTTACCTTTCCTTAAACATTCCTGCAGTGATTTTAGCTCATGGGAAAAGAAACACATGTGTTTTGAATTTTCAGCAGAACTGATCAGGGAAAACTCATTTTTCTTTAAACCTGTGTATTGCACTCTGCCATAGAGTGGGAATGTTCTTTCTTATGCTAAAAAATGTTGCAGAATAAGATACAAGGAAATGACACAGCTCTTTGAGGAATGTGGAGAGGAAATAATCACGCCTTCAGGCTATTGTGAATCAGAAGCCAGTAAATACTCAGCATTATGTTACCCAGAGCTGACCTACAGTGTCAGATAAAACATCTGATTGTGCAGACCTCATGCACATGTGTGGCATGGTGGTGTCCTGGCACAGCAGAGTTTTAGTCTCCCTTTAGATGGTCTCAGGATAACACAACTACGAGAACCCATCGCGATGCCAAGCCCTGCTCTGCCCGCCTGGGTTTTGGCAATCAGTTGGGATCACTTGGATCGTTTCAAACTAGGTATGGAAAGGCAACACAGTGTCCCAGTTTAGCACTGTTTAAGAGTCCTGTGTGCAGGAAAACTGCTGCAGGCAATGCCAAGTGTTTGGGTTAGACCCGACCTGGTGCCCCCCAGTCCTCCCTCTTGGCCATGCACAGGAGCTTCCAGAGTCCTGAGTTTTGTGTTTGATAACTCTGGAGTGTTTTAGAAGATGTATCACAGCAGTCAGCTCAAGCAGAGTGAGAGGGTTTTAGTATAATACAATTTGTGTCATTTTTTTCAGAGAAATATTAATATCTGCTTTTTATTACATTTTCTCTGTGTAAAAAGCAGATGAGGCTTCTCCCCCCCCCTCCCCTGGACAGAATGACCACTGAGGGCCACTGCTGTAGCATTGCCCTGCCTGACCTCCTGCAGTGGCTACAGTGAGAAACTGGAAACCTCTCTGGGGCACCCTCAGGCAGCTTCCTACCACCCTCTTGGGACAAATTTGTTTGTCCTGCTGATTGTGTTTGGATTATTGGCACAGAGGTCTTTGCTAGCCACCAACAGGACTGCAGGTTTAGTTCCGATTTTTGCAGCTTATGGCACAAGTTCTAGGTGTGCCACAGAAGTACAGTAAGCTCCTTTGAGCTTACTAAAACTTGGAGAGTAAGAAAATAACAGAACGTGTTTTGGTGTAGTTGAAGCAGCTCATTCATCTCAATTTCTCTAGAGGGGAGCTCAGATTTGAAGGGCAAAAGGACAACTCTCCAGATGCAAAGCATGGCATTGGCAACTCTTGTTGAAGGACTAAAAGTGAGGTACCAACAAATATCTACAGCTCCATAGGGAACAGAGTCTGGCAGTGGCCTGAGGGTCATCAGGGAACGTGTTTATGGTGCTGCTGTCGGGCATATTTCCCCTACTGTGAAATAGGGAGCAGGACAGTGGTAAAGTTCTGAAGTTACTGGTGTGAGCCCCCACCTTTTTCCCCTGGAAGAAGGGTGTAATTCTCAAGTTTTCTTGCTTCTTCCAGTAACAAGATTGGGAGTGAGGTGTTGCTTTTAATGGAAAGGGTTATAGGAAAGATTTCTTCTGCCATACACAGATGTGAGAGAACATTTCTTCTTGGCAAAGAAATTGGGGGAGAAAAAAAAAAGAGTACCAGGACTATATAAAGCACGCTAGAGAAAATCTGCAGTCTAGACATGAAATCTGAAAGGTTAGCCAACTTGTTCAAAAAAACAACCGACCAACTAAAACCCACCCGAAAGCAAATCAAAAAATACAACTCCCCAAACCCCTCTTCCTCCAAAAACCCAAACAAAAAACTCTGAAAAAGAGAATGTGTTCAAGGGGAAAATCATTTTGCACTTCTCAGGTGTTTTGAACATCAGGTGGATGTAGGAAACATCAGGGTAATTTTCACCACAAATACCAAGAGAGGAATTTCAAGCTGCCCTTGCCCAGCGTTTCCCTCTGTGTGCTTGGCAGGGTGGAATTCCGAAGGGCATTACTGGAGAAGAGGCTGCTGGAGAGAAAGGAGCAGCTCCTGCTCCAGGCCCGGGAAGAGGAGGAGAGGGAGAAGCACCTGGAAATGCTCCGACAGCAGGTGGGTCAGCTGGGGATGCACTGACCTCACACACAGGGCAACAAACACGCTGTCAGAGCACTGAAAGATAAAAGGAACAATCAAGCAAATAAATAAACGAGTTAAAATGCACTCCTGGGCTGACCAACAGTAATTCCATCATGCTGTAAATCCTGTGTGCTCTGTAGCTCTGACAACAGGGACATTATGACGTTAAATTGCACTGTAGAAGCTGTTGATATCGAAAAAGGAGATAGAGAGGGTGTTTTCTAGGTTGAATGTGATTTCTCTTAATTGATTTTTTTTTAATTTTTTTTTTTTTATTTTAATAATCTTAAGTCTTTCCTGAGTCTTAGGCAAGATTTATAAGTAATTTAGATTGTTTTTAAATTCTGGAAACTTACACTTCTTGGATGACTTTTCTTCTGAGATATTTAGCTCTGTGAAACTTTTGCACATTATTTCTTGAAGGACATTCCGGGAAATGCATGCTAATGCTTACTAATGTCATAGTAAACACAGTGCTGGTAAATGTAGTAAATGTAGTTATTTTTTCTACTGCTACTTTTGAAGGAGTAATTTTACCTTCACTTACATTTTTGTATCTAATCCCCTTGGTTTTTTCCTCCAAAAAAACCAAAAGTAGGAAAAAGCTAGAGTTCACATTCTGTACACTACAGGAGCTGCACCCTAAATGTGCAGCCAAAGGAAAATAGGGAGGGGGAAAAGGTGCTCTCCAACCCCTTTTTTTTCATTTGTGATAGTTTAAACAGCACTGAAGCAGCAGCTTTTCCCCCAGGACTACCCTTGGTTAAAAATCTGGTGTTTGGTGCAGCCTTGATCTCCCCTCCAGTGGACCATCCCAGTGCATCCTGTGAAACCCTTCCTTACCCCCTCAGGGGGTGTCGGTGGCTTCACTTTTGCTTGGTAATGGGGTGTGCAAAGTCAAGAGGAAAATAAAGTATCACAGAGGCCAAATACTCTGAGCCACCTTCTTTGGGAGAGCTGAGCAGAAGGAGAATGGATCAACCTCAGGGATCCTTGGGATCCTTTCAGTGGTTTTTTGAACTGTTGAACTTGAGCACATTTCCAGTCAGTTTTGCTTTATTTTTAAAAAATATTCAATTAAATATTTTGCAATGTTATTTTAGGTTATCAAAGCATTTTTTGATAATATCTCTCCTGCATCTTTTCCAAGTTCCTAGTTGAGTTTTACTATCATTTGCATCGGGTTTTACATGAGGCTGGTTGGGAGTCATGATCTGCTGAGCTCTGCCCACTGACTCAATTCTCTTGCCAGAGTACAAAACGCTTCTAGAACAGCCTTTGCCCGGAATGGGGGAGTTCCCACTTTGTTACACGTTTCTAATCAACGTTTATTCTCTCTTTCACACTAATGAAATGAAATCCATAAAGTATGTGCCTTTTTTGTATGTGGGGAGAAAAGTTTTTTAGTAAAGCAATCCAGCCTGTAGATTTTGGCAGCCTGTAAATACAAAGATGACATTTTATTAAAGAGATGGGGAAAAAAATTATGGTACAAAATTTAAGCCATTTTTTCTGGTTTAAGCCAATCAGATGGGGTTCTGATTTTGATTATTTTGCCCATACATCTTTCTGTATTTTTCCAAAGTAGTATTAGCCTGCATCTGAATATTTTAACACAAAGAAAGTAAGCAATGAAAGAAGATTGATTCTGGCACAACACAGTGTCTGAAAGTCTTTGATACTGATCTAGCCCCAGGAAATTACACAGTTAAAGCAGATGCACTTCACAAAAAAAAAACAGAGTTATGTTATTTGGGGCATATCACTCAATGTTGTTGGCCATGACTCTGTAAAAATTGTGAACTACCAACCTGAAAGTTTGGATTTCCTGGAATTGCGAGTGTTGCAGAACTGTGGGGTTCTGGGTCCTTGTGGTGACTGTCTCGGAATGCTGGAGCTCGTGTCAGCTCTGCTGGAGAGCCCAGGGTGATGGTGCTTCTCTCACGTCCTTGTTGGGCCCAGGCTGGGACGTCCCGCACTGTTACAGTGCAAAGGCAGTGAATGATCATGTTCCTGATAAAAGCCCGTTCTCGCCTTGGCTCTACACAGAGAGAGTGAATGTTGTTTTCATGTCTTGTGTTTCAGGTTGCTGTTGTTGCAAAATCAGACCCAGCCAGAGCAGTGGCTGATACGGTGGCATCGCGGGCACGGATGGGCATCGGAGCCAACCAAGAGTTTGAGCTGCAGCAGCCCCTGTTCAGGCTGCACACGTACAGTGAGGAGCAGGTAACTGGCTGGGATCCTGTGTGAGCCACTGTGGGCATGTGTGTCTTAATAGTGTACCCTAAACAGCAACATAGACTATGATGTGTGTGAGATAAAAACATCAGCAGTGACTGGTGGGGCAGTCTCTGCAGAAAGAGGCTTACAAATTTTGTCAACCAATCTTCTGACAAAGTTCAGAAGTAATTTTCCTGGGATTAATTGTCATTCTGAGAAATGGAAGTGGCACTGCCGTGTAAGCACAAGGCAGCACTGTGAGAAAAGTCATAAAGGCGTTTGAAGCACTTGGATTTCACAGGAAGAACCAGGAAGGGATTGGGCTGCGTGCTGCACTGGATCATTGCTGTGTTTGTTTTACCAGGTCATTTCTGACCCCAGGCTCCGTGTCGAGCTCGCTCTCCGAGAAGCTGGACTGCATAAAACACTTTATGCAAGAGAGATTTTGCCAAAAATTCCTCCACTGAAGCTTCCGAGAAGAGACATGGAATCTACAGCTTTTGAAGTGTAGAGCACCTCTTGTCTCAGGAGCAGAGGAGCTTCAGGGGTGCAAACCTTTAATAAATTCCCTTTGGTTGTGTCATAGAACTGCTCAGGTCCCTGTGTGTGCAGCTATTCAAACCCTGCTGAGCCTTCTCCCCAGTGCTGCACCACGTTACACCTGCCTGGGGCAGGTTTGGGGAGCCTGGGGGGTGGGCTGGTGCAGTGTGTGTCCGTGTCCCCTTGAACTGGGAGCTGGGACACCTGGACACAGGATTCCTGCACACAGCATGGGCCAATCTGATGGGCAGCACCTGGAGCAGGAGCTCTTGGGCTTCAGTTGGCAGCAGGAATCCAAAAGAGCTTTGCACTGCTGTTACTTTAGATTATATATTTCGTTACATGAATAAATCCCACAGTTTTCATTCCAAGTTTCTTGAGAATTTGATTCTTTAATTACAAAATCTTCATTACCACGAATGTTTCTAATAATCTTTGATTATTATAAGAAGAAACTTAAACCTTTGTCTATATTTAGATCAATCTGCTGCATCATATTTACTGCAAGCCAGTCATGCAATTTCATATTGCAGATTAGTCTTTCAGTATAAATTATAAATTAGAATTAGAGCTGGGATCTTTACTTGGGAGCTGACATTACTGAATATGATTCTATTAACTGAAAGGGAAATTGATGTTATTTCCTTTTGTAATTGATTATGTTTCCCAGCCTTACATAAAGATAGCATAAAAGGATTGTAAACAAGTTACAAATTAGCACTTTGACCAGAAATTTCTAAGGATGATGAATATCAGAAAGATCTGAACATCCCTAGCTATGTCTCTGGGTCACTATGGGAACTTCTTTAATGTGGAACTGTAATGCCTTACAGGTGTCAGTGTGTCCCACCCGAGCTTTGCAGAGATGAGTATGTCCAGTTTTCACCCCTCAGACTGAGAACTCTGCTGGCAAAGCCCTCCCAGCCCCGGGCAGGGCGCTCGGGGCACAGCGCTGGGACCTGCCGAGACCCCCAGGTGGGTGCCACAGGTGGGCAGCTGGTGTGACAGACCCCCCGGGTGAGCACAGCTCAGGACAGGAGCAGCATCACCACGGCACTGCAGCTGAGCTATCTGGGGGGGAAAGGCTGCAGAGCCTGTCCTGAGCCGTGGGAGCTGCATTGTCTGGGCTCGGCCTCTGCGAGCTTGGGCTAAAATTACAACTCTGTGTGTGTTTGTGCTTTTTATTTTGGTATCTCCTCTGGGCTAACTCGGTATTTTTAAAACACACTTGACCAGTCTCACAACTGGCTGGATGTTCCTGTGGGGAGCCCGGCAGTGCTTTGCTGGGAGGAACAGACTGGCTGCAGGACAGTTCCCAGAAAGGGATCATCTGAAACCTGTGGCAGTGGATTATTTTTTTCCTTACCTTTAAAAGCAGATCTAAAAGCTAATTTCAGTGGTGCAAAACCTTTTGAGATTCAAGTCCAGTATTCCTTTTCCTTGAGAGGTTTTAAATTACTTTCACAAAAGAGCTTGAAGGTACATTGCTGTTATTATGGGAGTTTCTGAAGTGGACTTTGAACTTGGCAGAACTGGGTTGGAATGGTAGGTTGGATTGCATGGTAAGTGACTGGAGGAATGTGTTTCCATTCTGGGAAGGCACTGGCTCCTGTCCTGGGATTTCTTCTCTGTCATCTTAATATTAGAGCCTAAAAACAGCCATCTTGGAATGGAAACCAGGAACCAGTCTCCTTTTCTTGTATAAAGTGGAGTTGGCTTTTTCATGGCATCAGTTTTCATGATATCATAGAATCATCAGAGAATCCCAAAATGGTTTGGGTTGAAAGGGACCTTAAAGCCCATTCAGTTCCACCCACCCTCCCACTAGACCAGCTCTCTCCAAACCCCATCCAGCCTGGCCTGGAGCACCTTCTGTCAGTTGTCCTGCAAGTTCCCTGTAAGTATCCTGTAAGTTATTGTTCCAAAGGTGTCAAAATTAATATGGAAGCAAGCTTGTTGGTGAACCTTAAGAACTGAAAGTGAGTTTGTGGGAATTGTTCAGGCTATAGGGGACCCTCTACGAACAACCCCTCCGCTCCACCCAGGTGCAGTTCAGACTCCTCCAGCTTATGGAGACACTTACAGATGATTTGCTGGATGCAAAAGATGCAGTTGTGTGAAATCAGGTCAAGGTTATGTCAGCACTGTGTGCTCCTCATCCCACTCCCTCACAAGGGTCTCTGTGCCCAAACCTGCCCACCCTGTGACAGGTGTCAAGCTGCTCCTGCTCAGCCAGAGACAGGCTCTCGTGCTTAAACTCTGGCACCTGCCAGTTTGGCACATCTTTGGATACTGTAGGAATGAAAGTCTGAACAGCCTCTGTAACAGCAGTGAGTAACAATAATGGTCACAAATATTGATTAATTTTGGGTGTCATTTACTTGGGCTTTGGCTTTATGCCCAAAGCAAAGGGATCTCCTTCCTACAGGATCACTGTGGACAGGAGTGACCCCAACAGGACACTTTATGATGAGTGGAGCTGGGAGTGAGGAACCTGCAGCTCAGTAACACAGCCTTATTTTGGCTGGAGCTGCTGCCCTTGGACATGCACGTGTGTCAGAACCATCTAGCCGTGTTGGAGGTTGGAGCAGCCCTTGGGTGTGCACGTGTGTCATTCCAGCCGTGTTGGAGGTTGGGGCTGTCCCTGGGTGTGCACGTGTGTCATTCCAGCCGTGTTGGAGGTTGGAGCAGTCCTTGGGTGTGCACATGTGTCATTCCAGCCGTGTTGGAGGTTGGAGCTGTCCCTGGGTGTGCAGGTGTGTCATTCCAGCCATGTTGGAGGTTGGAGCAGCCCTTGGGTGTGCACATGTGTCATTCCAGCCGTGTTGGAGGTTGGAGCTGTCCCTGGGTGTGCAGGTGTGTCATTCCAGCCATGTTGGAGGTTGGAGCTGTCCCTGGCCATGTGTGTGTCAGAGCCATTGCAGCCGAGTTGGAGCCTGCAGCTCCTGCCCAGCAGTGTCCATTGGGCTGCTCCCCTCGGCTGTGGAAGGCTCTGTCCCGTGGGAGTGTGGAGTGACTGAGTCTCCTGGGGGTTTGCCAGAGCAGGGGCCGTGCTGTGGGCAAGTCCTGCCCAGCCGCTCCCACATGGAGTGTGACCCTGCCATGCCCTGTGCCCCGCTGCCCGAGCCATGGTCAGTGTGCGGGGCCCAGCCCCAGGCGCTTGCGGATGAAAGCTGCAATCAGGCGCTGGGGCCGCTGCTGGTACTCCCACAGCACATCGTGGGATGCCCGGATCTGGTCCCCCTCCAGCCTGTCCAGGAGCGCCACGCAGACAACTGCGGCTGTGGAACGCATGGAGGGAGGGATGGAGGGAGGGATGGAGGGAGGGATGGAGGGAGGGAGGGATGGATGGAGGGATGGATGGATGGATGGAGGGAGGGATGGAGGGATGGAGGGATGGAGGGAGGGATGGAGGGAGGGATGGAGGGATGGATGGATGGAGGGAGGGAGGGATGGAGGGATGGAGGGATGGATGGAGCACTGTCACCTCGCTCCTGACCCTTCATTCCCCCCCAGGGGTGGAGCAGGGTCCTGCCTCCCTGGGGCTCATGGCCAGTGGGACAGGACCAGCTCTGCTCTGCATCCACCCTCCACTTACATGGGCTCTGCTCCAGCAAACCCTGGGGTGGGCTGCACCAGCATGGCCAGGATGTGTTTGTAGGGCCAGGAGAAGTGGGGGGCGATTAAGGTTTCGTTTGTCCAGTGTGTTCTCAGGCCTTGGGTTTTATTGAGCTATGAAGTTTGTTTTAGTGCCCTTTTCTAGTTCAAATTGTTAGGAATGTGTGTTTGGCCTTGTGGCATCAAACAGAACCCTTGGAGGGGGGTTAAGCAGGGTGCAGGGAGGAGATAGAATTGGCAGGACTCACCTTTGAGGCCACACAGCCCACACAGGGCAGCGAATGCTGAGGACTCCATTTCAATGTTCCTTACGCCGGCGTCATAAGCTCTGCTCAAGTACTCCAACTTCTTTTCACTGGAAAAGGAGCACAGTGCACCGTCTAATCTCCCCTGACCTGGGAAGGAAGCAGAGA